ACAGCTGTAATCCAATTACAAGGCCAAACTTATAATGGGTTACCTGGCAGATGCTGGCAGTTACAAAGCCACTAGCCACTCTGTGGCATTACAGTGGACCCCCGGTTAACGAACTTTTTTCATTCCAGTAGTATGTTCAGGTGCCAGTACTGACCGAATTTTTTCCCATAAGGAATATTGTGAAGTAGATTAGTCAATTTCAGACCCTCAAACATACACGTACAAACGCACTTACATAAATACACTTACATAATTGGTCGCATTTGGAGGCGATCGTTATGCGGGGGTCCACTGTACTTACAATGCTGGCAGATTGGTCATCCAGAGAAACATTTACTGTTGTCGAACCACCATTTGCTTTATTTGCAGCTCTAAATCCCACAATGACCCCTCCTGTTGGTCTTATACATCTCATTGTCTTAACTGTGTCAGAGATCATCCCTCTTATTTCCACCAGTGCTCTACATTTAGGCAGAAATTCAAAATCTGCTATCTAAAAGAGAGGGCATGCCACATGGAGAGGTTGTAACCCACCCTTAACAAGGTCACTACCTGCTGTCTACCCAGTTTTCTCAAGCTAACCACTTTCATCATCCCACAGTTCCCTTCAATTCCTTTACCTCTATGACCATATGAACTATGTACGTATTATTGCCTTCCTAATCTCAAGTTTATCTTTAAGTTTGCCTGAAATGCTCTGCATACAAAGGGGCTTTTGGCATGTACACACAACTATTATATTCCTCTGTACAACCATGTAATTTGTCAAAATAAACATCTTAATCTTATGTATGACTAATTTTTTTACATCTTTTCTTTACACACACATGTAGTGTGATACCTTTCTCAGCTTCAGCTGTTGGTCTTTCTCAGAACTCTTGGAGCCCTTTCCCTACTGTGAGGGTGAAGGAGATCCACATGTCCTCACCCTCCATCACCCAACTAAGGCACACACGTCATTAATAGTAATAATACAGTGGAACCTCGGGTTACGAACACCCCATCATGCAAACTTTACAGGATACGAACCATCGTTTGGTTGATTTTTTGCTTCTGGATACGAACGAAATTTCAAGATGCATACCTCCTCCTCAAGGGAGGTTCTTTAAATAAAGAAATAAAGAAATAATTTAGTTCTTTGAAAAGGTTACAATGTGTGTTTACATATCATAATATGACTGGAGCAAAGAGAGCCACTATCATGCCGAGGCATTTTGGGCAGACTTAACCTAATACAGTACTTATAGACTACACAAGTCTAGACATGTGAAAAGTAGTGGTTACCAATGTTTTGCTGATGGTGGTGCCAACTACTGGCAGCCTTTTGAAGTTTCTCCCTAGTATTATTATTATTATTATTATTATTATTACTACATATTATATTGTATTATTATTATTACTGTTATAATTATTAGTAGTAGTAGTACGTACATGGTGAGGGGTTCTTGATCTAGGGAATTGGATCTCTGTTCCAGTTCCCTAAATTAAGCCTGAATACCTTCCATCCCCTTCCCCCCACAAGTGCATCCCCATTATATTAATAATACAATGAACCCTTGGTTATCACCCGTTCCGCTTATCGGCCAACTTGCTTATCGGGCGGTTTTTCAGCTTCTGGTTATCGGCCGTTACTTTGCTTTATCAGCCATACTGGACGCTTATTGGCCAGCAATGCTCGTGCGTTCCTGAGTCAGTGTAGCTGTGTCACTGCTCATTCATCCAAATATTTCGCTATAAATCAGTGTTTTTCTTTGTTATTTATGAAGTGCAACTGCAAAATAAGTAAGCATGGGCCCAAAGAAAGTTCCTAATAAAGTTCCCATGGTAAAGAAAGTGAGAAACATGATGGAATTTAAGAAAAGTGACTGAAAAATTTGAGAGTGGTATGCGAGTGTTAGAACTTGCCAGGATGTATGGGAAAAACAAATCTACCATCACTTCCATCCTGGCAAAGAAAGAACAAATCAAGGAAGCTGATGTTGCAAAAGGAGTAAATGTGATAACGAAACAAAGGTCACCAATAATGGAAGATATGGAAAAGTTATTATTGTTGTGGATCAGGGTAAAACAATTAGCAAAAGATAGTGTTGTGGAGTCAGTGATTTGTGAGAAGGTAAAACAGTTGTACGGGGATCTTTTAAATAAAATGCCTGGAACAACTGTTGCTGTTAATGAATTTAGGGCCACAAAAGGCTGGTTTAAGAGATTTAAGAAGCATAGTGCCATACAGTGTGGTAAGGCATGGAGAGGCTGCAAGTTCTGATAAATGTGCAGCTGAAAAATGTATGCAAAGATTTCAACGGGGACAGAGGCTAAAGGATTCCTCCCCCAACAAGTGTTCAATTGTGACAAAACAGGCCTGTTTTGGTAGAAAATGCCAAAGACGACCTACATTACACAGGAGGAAAAGGCCCTGCCTGGACACAAGCCAATGAAAGACAGGCTTACTCTGTTCTGTGCTAATGCTACTAGGGATTTCAAAGTGAAGCCTTTACTGGTGTATCACTCTGAAAATCCCAAAGTGTTCAAGAAACACAATGTTTTCTAGAATAAACTGTGTGTGATGTAGAGGGCTAACAATAATGCATGGGTCACAAGGCAAATTTCGATGAGTGGTAAATGATGTGTCTGGCCCAAGTGTGAAAAAATACCTCCTGGAACAAACTGCCACTCAAGTGCTTCCTAGTACTGGACAATGCTCCTGCTCATCCTCCAAACTTTATAGAACTATTGTCTGTAGAATTCAGTTTCATCACAGTGAAGTTCTTGCCTCCTAACACCACTCCTCGCATCCAGCCCATGGACCAGCAGGTCATTTCTAACTTCAAAAAACAGTGTTTCAAAGGTGCTTTGAAGTGACCTCAGATTTAACCCTAAGAGAGTTCTGGAGGAATCACTTCAATATCCTCCACTGCATAAGCCTTATACATAAGGCTTGAGAGGGAGTGACTTCCAGGACTTTGAACTCTGCTTGGAGAAAACTGGCCAAAATGTGTCCAAAAGTGGGATTCTGAAGGGTTTGGGGCTGACCCTGCAGACCCTATGCCTGTTGTGGAATCCATTGTATCTCTGGGTTGGAGGTTAGTGGTGAGGATGTGGAAGAGTTGGTGGAGGACCACAGGGAAGAGCTAACCAATGAAGAGCTGCAAGAGCTTCATCTGCAACAGCAACAGACCACAGCTCAGGAACTTGTATGTAAAACTATAATTAAGTTCTTAAAAAATGTATTTTTTGTGAATATTCTTGGGCATCTGGAATGGATTAATTGTATTTACATTAATTCTTATGGGAATAATTATTTCAGTTATCGGCCATTTCAGTTTTAGGCCTGCCTTCTGAAACGGATTACGGCCAATAACCGAGGGTCCACTAATAATATAATAATAATGAAATAATAATAATATAATAATAATGTACTATAAGCAGTACGCTAAGGTCATACCTGCCTAAGCTCTTGGGAGTTAGCGTGGGCTGTTACCAAGCACCATGGCTTGTTGTAGTGTTTTAGAATCTCAGGTTCAAGTGTTGAAGGAGATTCTACTTCTTCGGGAGGAAAAATAGGAGGCTGAAGCTTCGCATAGATGAGGTTGGGAGTGAGTGTGAGAAGGATTTAGCTGGTAAGGAGGAAATGGTCACCAGCTTTAAGTGGTTCACAGTTCAGGAAGAAGGAAGATGAGGAGAGTTAATAGAGAAGATGTGAAGTTAGAAAATCGATTCTCTGTTCTCCAAGGTGAATGTACTTCAGTGGTTAGTGAGGTTGAAGGTACCACTGATTCCCCTGCTAATCAAGCTAAGAACATTTTAATAGTAGGCGATTCTCAGGTAAGATATATGGACCGTGCATTTTGTAACAGAGACAGAAAGGTCAGACAGTGTCTTCCTGGAGCTGGTGTTGGTGACAGTCAGCAGGTTGGATAATATTATGGCAGGTAATGGGAACAAGCCCATTATCTGTCTTAGTGCTGGAGGTAATGACACTGGGAAGGGCAAGAGAAAGGAGCTACTGGACAAGTACAGGTCAGCCATAGAAGTAGTTAGGTCTAAGGGAGGGATCCCAGTCACATGTAGCATCTTGCCTAGAAAGGGAGTGGGCAATGAATGGATGTCTAGGGCTATTGGTATATATTGCTGGCTAGACAGGTACTGCAAGGAACTTGCAATCCCATTCATTGATAACTGGGACAATTCTTTGGCAAACGTGATACTCTGGGGATGGAGTGGTTGCATTAGCCAATTCAATTGAGAGGGTAACTGATGACTTGTCTAGGAATTTAAACTGATAGATTATAGAGGTATGGGTGTTTGTGAGAAACAATCAGGCTGCAGCATTAGTGTTAAAAACAGCAGTTATTACCGGGATACCTCAGGGATATGTTTAAAAGACAATATTCAAAATAAAGTTGCTAGTAATGGCAAATTAACTGATCAACAAACAAAGAGACAGTAAACCATACCCCCGGCCGGGATTGAACCCGCGGTCATAGAGTCTCAAAACTCCAGCCCGTCACGTTAGCCACTAGACCAGCTAGCCACAATAAGATTCATCCAACTAGGTATATTTCTACACCATAGGAAAGTCAGCACAGGCACCTCTGTGACCACAAATGCATTTGTGGTCACAGAGGTGCCTGTGCTAACTTTCCTATGGTGTAGAAATATACCTAGTTGGATGAATCTTATTGTGGCTAGCTGGTCTAGTGGCTAACGCGACGGGCTGGAGTTTTGAGAAAGAGACAGTAGAGGGCAACGAGTGACTAGCTCCCTTAAGGTTTACTATACAAATAGTAGGAGTCTAAGAAGTAAGATAGATGAGCTAAGATTACTTGCAAGTGTAGGTAATATAGATATTATTGGTATAACAGAGACCTGGTTCAACCTGAAAGATAGAGAAATGCCTTCTGAATGCAACATACAGGGTTATAAACTATTCCTCACTGATAGGGTCAACAGGAAGGGTGGTGGAGTGGCGATGTATGTCAGAGAAAATTTAAATTGTTGTCTTAGACATGATATAAGATTAGAAATATCGAACACAGAATCTGTTTGGCTGCAGTCTCTTGAGGGACGTGACAAAATTAATTTTGGGTGTGATTTATAAGCTCCAAAACCTTGACAGGGAGTGCAGTAAGCTACGAAATTTGTAAGGCATCTAGATATGAAAATGTTTGATAATGGGAGATTTTAACTAGACAAATTGAACAATATGACAGGAAATCTTGAGTCTAGTGACTTTGATATGGTTCAGGATTGCTTTTTAGAACAGGTTGTGACAGAACCAACTAGAGGAAACAATCTGCTTGACTTGGTTCTTGCCAACAAAGATTCACTAATTAATAATCTTGAGGTTAATGATGAGCTTGGGGAAAGTGATCACAAATCACTTAGTTTCAATATATCATGGAATCACCCAGATAACTGCAATCAAATCTCTGTCCCAGATTTTCACTTGGCCGACTTCATGGGACTGAAAAATTACCTGGGTGGGCTAAATTGGGATGTCCTGACTATGGGTCAGGTAGGTGATCTTGGCTGCCAATATGATGTTTTTCAGAGCATAGTTCTAGCTGCCCAGACAACTTTTGTTCCGAGTAGGGAAATTAGATCTAACAAAAATGATCCCAAATGGACGAACAATATATCAAAACATCTCATTGGTCAAAAGAGAGGCATATACTATATTCCATTGTGCAGATATATATCATGTCCAAATAAATAAACTATAACTATAACACTCCTCTGGGTTTTCTTCTATTTTCTTACTAATTCTTGTTCTTGTGCATTTCCTCTTATCCTCATGGGAAAGTGGAACAGAATTCTTCCTCCATAAGCCATGAATGTCATAGGAGGCGACTAAAATGCCGGGAGCAAGGGGCTTTATAACCTTCTCCTGTATACATTACTAAATTTAATAAGGGAAACTTTCATTTTTCTTTTTAGGTCACCCTGCCTCTGTGGGATATGGCCGGTTTGTTGAAAAAAAAATTATTATTGTTTTTATTAGTATTACATTCATGGGGGAGTACTAAACCCATAGGGATCATACAGCACCTGGAGGTATGGAAAGCATTCAAACAATTCAATAAATTACAATTTCTACCTCTTTTGTGTGCAGAAAAACATGCTGCCACTTCTTATCTAGCTGTATCCTTCTCTACTCCTGTCTCTTACCCTCAGCCTCCAATTTTCAAATGCAATCCACAATGTCTTGGAGATATGGACACTAGAGATTTTCACTCTTTGAACAAAGGCACTGCCATGGTGCCCTCTTACTAAGATGAGATGCCTACAGAGCAGTCACCTTCTCCAATATTTAAGCATTAAACTATACTGTAAATATATGAACCACCCTAGAATTTGTGACTGCCAGTTCAGTCTACTTTGCCTCCTCCTACATCTGCTTTTTTTTTTTTCCTCCTCACTTGCCTTGACAATATCCACATCTCTTCCATTATTATTATAATCAAAAAGAAGCACTAAACCTACGAGGATCATACAGCACTTCCACACATCTCAATCACATTAAGTGTTTTCCTCAGATCTTGTGCATTCTTTTCTTTGCCATAGCCTCCTGATTATCCTGGTTTTCACTAATTATTTCATCTTTTTATGAGTAAGTCTTTTCTTTATGTATATCATCCAATGGAATATTAGGGGATAAAGGGGTAATTGAGCAAATCTTCAGACAGTGATTTCCCCTGAATGTATACTCTATCCGGATGTCTTGTAAAATAACGATGCACTTCTCTTGGGGAAGATGGATGAAGAGGGAAAGGGGGGGTTACCTAGATGCTGGGTAAAAGGCTGATGATACAAACAAGTGAAGCTATCTCCTGTCTTTGATCAAATGTTATTAACTTTATTTCTCCCCAGGCGCTCACTGTATGATCCCTACGAGTTTAGCACTCCCAATAAAAACATCACAAAAATAACAAGTTCCTTCTTCATTTATGAAACTGGTTAAGGTTTATGACTACATGGCAGAACTCAAGCATTGATTTATATTCTTCAACACACACAACCTGTTTGCAACACACTAAATATACCAATTATTTCTTGTGGAAATGGTTCAGTAGCAGGTCTCAGCCAATCAGTAAAAAGACACCCAGTACTGATGGCAGGGGTAAGGTTAAGTTAGGCCAAGTTATTTTAGGTTGGATGGGCTTTCTTACGTTAGTCTTCATATTTACAATTTGCACAACAAAATATCTCAACTGTAAAACAAGCTTAATGTTGTACAACTCAAACTGCAATTAAAAGCCAAAATCTGCTGAAGAACAGCTCTATATTTTTACCACAACATCTCACCTGGTAAAATATCAGAAAAAAGAATGTGTCTTTCTCTCCTACTGAGGACAGCATCTTCACCCTCGTCTATGGTAAATTCTGGACACTGAACAAAGTGGGTGACAAGAACATTGAGAGACTTGAGGTATGATGCCTCAGATGTTATCATCTCAAACATAGCTTCCTGAATCTTCCTTTCCTGGCTGCTGATTTGACCTGCAATAAGAAAAGTTTTAGTTATGACACAAATGATGATAAAATGATGATTTTTCCATTGAAAGAGAAAATGAAAAATTATGCATAATATAAAAAAACTGAAGTGGCCAATTATCAATTGTCTTTCAGTTGGTCAATTTTGCACATCACAAAAAAATGTTTTCTAATAAGGTCAATAAAAGTAATAACTGGTAAACAATAATACAGGTTTCCTTTGTTTTATGAAGTATTATTTTAAACAAATTCACTTACACGTAGTGACCTCATTTTTACCAGTGAGTCGCTACATGTACTAAATACTCACATGCAATCACCTAAGCCCACCACAACTTAATTTTTACATCTCCTTACATATCATTCTAAACTGATATTCCTAAGAATGATTTTGATTTTCAATTAAATTGTTTTGCACCAAAAGAAAAGAGACATTCAGCCATACAATTTTTTTAACAACTTCATAAATATCGATATAAGCTGGTTTATATTAACATTCATGAGGACTTATTAGCGATTTGGGTGAAGCCCAACGAGCCAGCTCTAAATGAAACTATGGCCAGTCTTCCAGCATTTTGTGTAAACTTAAAATGTATGGAAGAGGGTAAGGTACCTAGGGATTGGCAGAGAGCATGCATAGTTCCTTTGTATAAAGGCAAAGGGTACAAAAGAGAGTGCAAAAATTATAGGGGGGGATAAGTCTGTTGAGTATACCTGGTAAAGTGTATGGTAGAGTTATTATTGAAAGAGTTAAGAGTAAGACGGAGAATAGGATAGCAGATGAACAAGGAGGCTTTAGGAAAGGTAGGGGGTGTGTGGACCAGGTGTTTACAGTGAAACATATAAGTGAACAGTATTTAGATAAGGCTAAAGAGGTCTTAGTGGCATTTATGGATTTGGAAAAGGCATATGACAGGGTGGATAGGGATGCAATGTGGCAGATGTTGCAGGTGTATGGTGTAGGAGGTAGGTTACTGAAAGCAGTGAAGAGTTTTTACAAGGATAGTAAGGCTCAAGTTAGAGTATAGGAAAGAGGGAAATTATTTCCCAGTAAAAGTAGGCCTTAGACAAGGATGTGTGATGTCACCGTGGTTGTTTAATATATTTATGGATGGGGTTGTAAGAGAAGTAAATGCGAGGGTCTTGGCAAGAGGCGTGGAGTTAAAAGATAAAGAATCACACAAAGTGGGAGTTGTCACAGTTGCTCTTTGCTGATGACACTGTGCTCTTGGGAGATTCTGAAGAGAAGTTGCAGAGGTTGGTGGATGAATTTGGTAGGGTATACAAAAGAAGAAAATTAATAGTGAATACAGGAAAGAGTAAGGTTATGAGGATAACAAAAAGATTGGGTGATGAAAGATTGGATATCAGATTGGAGGGAGAGAGCATGGAGGAGGTGAATGTATTCAGATATTTGGGAGTGGACGTGTCAGCGGATGGGTCTATGAAGGATGAGGTGAATCATAGAATTGATGAGGGGAAAAGGGTGAGCAGTGCACTTAGGAGTCTGTGGAGACAAAGAACTTTGTCCTTGGAGGCAAAGAGGGGAATGTATGAGAGTATAGTTTTACCAACGCTCTTATATGGGTGTGAAGCATGGGTGATGAATGTTACAGCGAGAAGGCTGGAGGCAGTGGAGATGTCACGTCTGAGGGCAATGTGTGGTGTGAATATAATGCAGAGAATTCGTAGTTTGGAAGTTAGGAGGAGGTGCGGGATTACCAAAACTGTTGTCCAGAAGGCTGAGGAAGGGTTGTTGAGGTGGTTCGGACATGTAGAGAGAATGGAGCAAAACAGAATGACTTCAAGAGTGTATCAGTCTGTAGTGGAAGGAAGGCGGGGTAGGGGTCGACCTAGGAAAGGTTGGAGGGAGGGGGTAAAGGAGGTTTTGTGTGCGAGGGGCTTGGACTTCCAGCAGGCATGCGTGAGTGTTTGATAGGAGTGAATGGAGACAATTGGTTTTTAATACTTGATGTGCTGTTGGAGTGTGAGCAAAGTAACATTTATGAAGGGATTCAGGGAAACCGGCAGGCTGGACTTGAGTCCTGGAGATGGGAAGTACAGTGCCTGCACTCTGAAGGAGGGGTGTTAATGTTACAGTTTAAAAACTGTAGTGTAAAGCACCCTTCTGGCAAGACAGTGATGGAGTGAATGATGGTTTAAGTTTCTTTTTCGGGCCACCCTGCCTTGGTGGGAATCAGCCAGTGTGATAATAACAAAAATTAAAAGAAAATGAACACCAGCCTAAGGAAGTTGTATTGCTCCAACACGAAGTTGGGAATAAGGAGAAGTGTGTTCATAGGTTTATAATGTGCACACCTCAGTCCAGACAAAGTAATTAGTTGGTGGTGGAGGGAGGAGGGAGAGAGGGCTGATGGTGGAGGGAGGAGGGAGAGAGGGCTGATGGTGGAGGGAGAAGGGAGGGAGGGAGGGTTAGTGGCAGTGGGGGAAAGGAGGGAGGGTCTAATGAAGAAGGATTATAATGGATTTTTTTTTTACAGAATTCCTTTACTGTATGTAGGCAGAGGCCTCTTATAACAGGATTTAGGTAGTGTGTTTTTATTAGAGTGCTAATCAAATTTATATCCCAAAATTATTGGAAGATAGCTTCAGCCTTTGCATGATGACTGAATGTTGTTAGTTACGACAGATGGTGTTAAGTAGTGGTAGTACTGGTAGGTGACTATAGGTGATAAGACTGGTAGATTGTGGTGGTAGCAGCTACAATATGAAATAGTGTATTACACAAGTGATTGTGGAGGATGGTGCTACATGGTGTAAGGTGGTCTTCAAGTTCTTTAACCAGAGGTTTGATAAGTTGGGGAAGGAAGAAGGATGGAATGTGGAGGACGGGTGGGTCTGGGGTGAGGAGAAGGGAGGAGTAATAAAGGTAAGTGGCCCAACCACTATGGCATGTATTAATGAAGGTACACATGTTGTTATGCATGAAAATCAGATGGTGTGTTAGGTGGTGATAGTGCTGGTAGGTGGTCATAGTTGATGGGATTGTTATATTGTGGAGGTGGCAGTAGCTACAATACAGAATATTACTAGGTATAAGTGATGGTAGTGGGTGGTGTTAAGGGATGATAATGCTGATCAGTGATGATAGATGGTGGTGATAGGTTAACATGCAACCACATTTGTATGTTTTACATGTTGCAAACAGTTCATTTCATGCAATTTTTTTATGTATGATGGACCAGGACACATCTATCACAAAGTGAGGTAGACCAATACTGAAGTCACATAATAAACTTCACATTCTCTTGAACTCAATCACGACAATAAAATTAAATATTTGGTGCAGGCAAAGTAATATAAAATCTTTATGTCCAAAAGAAGGATTACTATACTGTTAACACAATGACCATGTTCTACTAAGGCAGGACGACCAAAGGAAGAAAATTTATCAACACCACCAGCCAGGTGGTGAGCTTTGATGCTTAAAAAAATGCATCCAAGTACGTAATAATAATAATGATGATAATACATGTGTAAGAATGGTATATAATACCGACAAGATGAAATTAAGTCTTAATTTCATGATAATACATAATAATAACAACATACTATAATAATAATTATAATAATACACAGCTTCGAAAGGCCGTCACTAGATGGCAGTGAACAGCACAACAATGTTGGAGCGGTTATGGCTGCCTCCAGTCGCCATATTATGGCTTATTTTATTCATTGTAGAGTATATATCATGTTTCAATGTTATTTATATTGTTTAATATGCCATATTAGATCAATTGTGACAGATAAATAAGCCGTAGAGTTGATATTAGCATTATATTGAAGTGTATTTTTCCTACCTCTGAGAGCAGGAATTCCGCCTGAATGGATTATGACTTTTCAGTTAATTTAAATGGGGAAAATTAACTCAGTATATGAACAAATCAGGATATGAAAAAGGTCATAGAATGGATTAAGTTCGTAAGCAAAGGTTCTACTGTATAATGGGGAAGTGCTTGTGGGGGGGGAGGGAATGGAAGGTATTCAGGCTTAATTTAGGGAACTGGAACATATATCAAATTCCCTAGATCAAGAGCCCCTCACCACGTACGTACTAATAATAATAATTATTATAACAATAATAATAATAGTAACTGTAGGTAGTAGGTTGGTAGACAGCAACCACCCAGGGAGGTACTACCGTCCTGCCAAGCAAGTGTAAAACAGAATCCTGTAATTGTTTTACATGATGGTAGGATTGTTGGTGTCTTTTTTCTGTTTCTTAAACATGCAAGATTTCAGGTACGTCTTGCTACTTCTACTTACACTTAGGTCACTCTACACATACATGTACAAGCATATATATACACACCCCTCTGGGTTTTCTTCTATTTTCTTTCTAGTTCTTGTTTATTTCCTCTTATCTCCATGGGGAAGTGGAACAGAATTCTTCCTCCATCAGCCATGAGTGTTGTAAGAGGCAACTAAAATGCCAGGAGCAAGGGGCTAGTAACCCTTTCTCCTGTATATATTACTAAATATAAAAGGGGAAGCTTTCGTTTTTTCCTGTTGGGCCACCCCACCTCAGTGGGATACGGCCGGTGTGTTGAAAGAAAGTTCTCCATGGGGAAGTGGAACAGAATTCTTCCTCCGTAAGCCATGCGTGTCGTAAGAGGCGACTAAAATGCCGGGAGCAAGGGGCTAGTAACCCCTTCTCCTGTATAAATTACTAAATTTAAAAAGAGAAACTTTTGTTTTTCTTTTTGGGCCACTCTGCCTAGGTGGAATATGGCCGGTTTTTTTGAAAAAAAAAAAATAGTAATTACAATAATAACAGTAAGGAGAAACTTCAAAAGGCTGCCAGTAGTTGGTACCACCATCAGCAAAACATTGGTAACCACTACTTTTCACCTGTCTAGCCTTAAGTAGTCTAAAAGTATTAAGTTAAGTCTGCTCAAAATGCCTCAGCATGATGGTGGCTTTCTTTGCTCCAATCATATTATATGTAAACACATATTGTAACCTCTGCAAAAAAATAAATATTT